ACTCCCAGAATTCCCCAGCCAGCATGGCTGGCTGGGGAATTCTGGGAGTTGAAGTCCACACATCTTGAAGTTCCCAACATTAAGAAACACTGTTCTACAGTCTCTTCAGCTTCTGCAAATGGCCAAGTTCACACATTTTGAAATATAGACTTGCAATCATAAGGTTTGGAAATGTAACTTCAGTTGTTCATTTTAATGGAATCTTGTATTTTCATGGAATGGGCTAGAATAAATTGCCTCTAGCAGCCCTATTCAAAGTAAGTGCAGGCTTAGCATAAGATGATTATGATATATCTAGTTACCACAAGGTGGCAATAGACACACTGTCTTCAGAAATTAAAAAGTTAACCTCGTTAACTTTCTACAGAGCAATAATCCAGAGTTTGTCAGAGAGCAATCTTCAATCATGGGCTGTCATTTTTTATGTACATTCAATGGAAAATATCTTAGAATCCATATTATAACTGTGCAATGTACATTTGGGATAAAAATTGATTAAAGCACACTGTTTCTGAAATGCACCTTCAGTTACAAAAAAAAAGTCACCTTTCAGAAGCCGATACCGTGATGATGTCTGGGACTTTGAGCTTCCACGTTATTAGAGAACAAACTTCACTATTTTATTTGATTTTATTTAAGAAGTGTACATGGCTGCCCAACTTGGACAGCTGCAACTCAGGGCAGTTCTGCAAAGGATATTTAGACAGCTTCCAGATCAGCTCCACACCTATTATCCTATCTGTTTGAATTCTTTGGCAGGTGTGATGTTTTTATTTTTTGCAGCTCAGTTGTGAAATAAAAGAATTTGCTCTGAAATCAGTTTTCCACTGGAAACTGTGGAGCCTTGAAGAGCTTGGGGGTGAGCCATTTCTCTACTGGCAGAATTCTTGTGTCTTCCCTTCTCCTGGCTATTTGTGCTTCTGCTACTTTAATGGGTCCTTAAAGAATAATGGTGGCTTGACAGCTTTGTATCCCTTCCCCCCCAGCTCCCCAAGGAAGCAGGGATGAAATTGACAAGAGTTGTGACTGTATTCTTACTTTTGTGTTTATGTGTGTGTGCTAAACACTTACCTCTGTTGATTTGTTTCTTCCCTTCCCTTTTTTTTTTTTTTATGGAGGTAAAGGGAGTTTTGTTGCTGCAGAATCTCAGGGTGTGCTGGAAATTTTTGTTCCTTATTTTCAAAGCTGCAAGAACTGCGGCAGGGGATACTTCAAATTGCTATTGAGGGATTAAAGATCAGAAGCAGAGCAGTGTAGAAGTGTCCTTAGAGGGGTTCCTCTTGATTTTCCTCACCCCTGAAGTGGAGAACAGTCAGAATGGAAGAGCTGAATAAAATCCTCAGGCCTCCCCTAGAAACAATTCCAGTTTGCTCGGAGGTATAGGCATCCTTTTTTTCCACTGCACTGAATGTCACACAGAAAGTCACGGGTTACATTTGGTGGTTGCCTAGTGCTTCTCCCAGACCAGAAAATAAATCATCCAGCCTGACATTTGCTGATGGATCCCCAAGCTGAACCCCCTCGGGATGCTGTTTCCCAAAAGGTATTAACCTCACGTTGGTCTTAAGTTAAAGGCAGACAAGTTTATCAACAGCTTTTCTTTTTATTAGAAACCCATGGAAACAGCATCATCCTGCAGCAAAGTGAAGCAAGTCATACAGGCTTCAACACAAAGGAAAAACTAGAGCCAAGCACACTGGACTTGAACCAAAGTATCAGGAAAAAAACCCTGGATGATTCAATTACAGGACTACATTCCGGATAGTTCAGCGTGACAGTCTGCCAACAGGAGTGGAAATTCCTTAGCGCTCATCACTTCATCAGAGGGCTAACTGGAGCAGTGATTAATAACCCAACCAACCAACGTACATCGGGGTTGTACATTGCTAGAGGATCAGGATGCATCTTTGCAACAGCCTTGTAGAAAAGATGATAAGCAAACCTAACCTTCCTCCTTAGGAAATGTCATGGGTGAGTACAGGTAGTGTACTCAACGTATGACCACAATTGGGACCAGAACTTCCATTGCTAAGCAATGCAGTCATTAAGTGAGTCTTGCCCAATTTTATGACCTTTTTTGTCACAGTTGTTAAGCAAATCACCACGGTCGTTAAGTGAATCACACAGCCGTTAAGCGAATCCAGCTTCCCCCATTGACTTTGCTTGTCAGAAGCCCCTGGGAAGGTCACAGGTGGTGATCACGTGACCCTGGGACGCTGCAACCGTCATAAATACATGCCAGTTGCCAAGCACCTGAATTTTGATCATATGACCATGGGGATGCTGCGACAGTCATAAGTGCAAGGACCAGTTGTAAGTCATTTTTTTCAGCACCATTGTAATTTCGAACGATCATTAAATGAATGGTCATAAATCAAGGACTACTTGTAGAGATTTGAACCCAAGCCTCCCTCTGTTGCTGCTGCACCACAATGGCTATCAATAAATGTGGAAAGAAAGAAATGTGTTCATCTTCTATGGATGGGAGCAAGAAAGTTTCTTCAAAGTTTAGCCCTTAGATTAGCCTGGACACTGTATCCTTATTGCCAAGCACACCTTTAGGGCAACTTTTCCCATCCAATGCCCTCCACCTGTGTTAGACTTTCACTCCCAGAATTCTCAGTATGATGATTAACCATTATTAACCATGATGATTAGGGACTGGGAAAATTTCAGTGAAAGCTCAAGGCCAAGTGGTTTTTAACAGTATTCTTCCTAGAAAGGCACCTCTGGTGAGAGATAGTGGTTTCTCCCTGCTCTCTTTCCCATAGTGGGAATGTGGCCATCACCTCCAGAACAGAACTTCCCCTCACGTGGACAAGGGGAGAGCCTTAGAAATCAGACCTTTATGAGTTCATACTGTAGATTCTTTGGATGTAGTCTGGGCCTGCTGGCAGCTGTAAAGCCATTTAATGACACGGGCATTTCGCTCCACAACGGAGACCGATGCAGGCAGCTTTTCACTTGGCTCTTCAGCAGACAATGTCTCCCCGTTATAGGAAATGCCACCAGGTTCAGAACTAGCTGAGCCAATGCAGAAGGAACTAGCTTCCCAGTTCCCTGGCTTGAATCGTTCAGCTCCAAGCACCTCTACCAGATTCCTGTCCAAGCCACAGTAATTAAAGAACCGTTCTTTCTCTGAAAGAGGAAGAGAATAACTCGGAGTCAGCTCTTTCTTGGCCTCTGTTTGGTAAGGGCCTGAGGAAGGAAAGGGCTGGTCAACGTTGAGCTGAGAGCTGGCTTGGGGCCTTTGACTGAGCTCAGACGCACAACCCATGAATCCGGGTAGGATGCCTACTGAATGTGCAGTCCTTGTGTCCTCCTTCTCTGCAGGTACCCAGACCATGGAGTTTTCTTCTTGAGTCACTTCCAGGTGTCCATCTCCCAACAGACTCCTTGAGGGAGAACAGCTATGATGTCCATCCCTCAGTGGTCCCTGAAACAGCCACTTCATTAGGCTGTACCCTTTGCTGTTCTCCTTGTTGACAGCGGAACAGTCCCGTTTCTGCCGGTAGATGACAAGCGAGTCAGGCCTCAGCAGGCGCCTGCCACCCCCTCGCCGCACTATGGGTGACTGAGGAGAAGGAGGCTGCTTCCTGGGGCTGAGGTCATCTTGGCCTGCCATCAAGCCTTGAGGAATTTCACTCTGCTGGTGGAGGGTCAGGGGTCTTCTGCAGCATGGGGAAGACTGAGGAGTGTAGCTGAGCAGAACCGGTTCTTGACGACTGTTGATCACTTGCCGAGATTTGACGTATTTGGCTTTGTCAGCCTCCAGCCTCTCCACAGCGCTCGGTGTCCGCCCACCGCTGCTCATCTCCAGCTGCTTCCGCAAGTAATCAGGCCCTCGTGTCAGCAGACCCAGAGGGGAAAGTCCATCTCCTGGAGAAAGAGGCCTCATTCTGTATCCACAGTTTCAGCTGTTGTGCAATTTTCAAAACCAGGATTTTTTTGATCTGCAATAATTGCATAAAGAGATGATGACTGTTAACAGGCCAAGAGAACTAGCAGAATGTTGTCCAACACCACACCCTTGATAAAAGATATATGGTTGTCCCACATGAGGCTTTGGCTACTCCTTCCACAATCAGTTCTGCAGTGCTAGAAACCAGCTTACTTGCTTGTTTGTTTTTACTTCGTGTGATTAAAATTCAGCCACATTTCCAAAGAGGAGTGAAATTCTCTTTCTGTGAAGAGAGAGCACAGTTGGATGCTGGCCACTCCACAGTGGTCCTAGAAGCAGAGAAGAAGATTAATGAGACCATGCAAACACAGGATGTGATTTCCTATCACATTACGATCCTTGAAAGATGGGAATTGCTGGGAAATTCAGACATAAGCTAATAGGATCATCAACAGTGATTAATATTTTGCTTTCTAAAAAAATGTGAATATTTGTTGAAGCCCTGACCTGCCTTTGGGAAACTCCCATGTTCCAGCTCAAACGAAATGGCCACAACATGCCAAGTTGCAAAAAGTCTTACTCCAGGTAATTCTCACTTTGTTCTATGCTTTTCTAAGTGCCCCTACTTAGGGCAATCTTTCTCAACTACAGCTCTTGTGATGAGTTGGACTTGAAGTTCCATAATTCCTGACCAGCATGAACAAATGACAAGAAAGGGGATTTCACCTTTTTACCTAAACATTAGGTAAAACTGTTGGTACAAGATTCAGCAGTGAACGGGCTGCCTTAGAAAACAGTGCTTCCTTTCATCAGATATTTTTAAGCAAAGACTGATGGCTATGTATTAAGGTCCTGTTCCTGTGAGTTTCCTGGATCAGCAGAAAGCTGGACTAGACTGGGGTGTGTCACATTTTTTTCAAGCAGTGGCCGCACTTGGCTTGTGGTGGCATATGGGAGAAGCATGTTCCAAAAAGTAACAAAAAGTAAATTTGACTTCATTTAACATCAATTACATTAAATAAAATATATCTAGCCAGTTAGGGGTAGTGGTTAATTCTGGTCCCACCGTAGGCACAAAGCCAGCTGGGATGACCTTGTGTCAGGTTCAGCCCAAAGAACTCCAAGAGACAACGCAATTACAGTTCTGTTGCTTTTATTAGCTTCCACCTCAAGACAGAAACCTCTCCAGCCTGACCCTAAGTCCCCAAGCCAGCCAGCCACAACACCGTGAATTCCTTAGGGTGGTGCCAGTCTCATCTTCT